CTCAGATCTCTCTACAGCCCTGTATACACACACACTCATATAGACATATATGTACACACATACATACACTCATGCATATACAAACACACACACACACACACACACACACACACACACACAGCTCCCTGGCAGAGGCAGGTGGATCTCTGTGAGTTCAAGGTCAGCCTGTCTATAGAGTGAATTCCAGGACTGAGGACTGTCAGCCAGAGATACACAGAGAGAACTTGTCCCCCCTCAAAAAAAGAAAAAGAAAAAGAAAAGAAAGGAAGGAAGGAAGGAAAAAGAAAAAGAAAAGAAGAGGAGGAGGAAAAGGCGAAGAGGAAGTGTGCTTGGGAGATGATGTGCCCCTGTATATGGAGGAGATACCACTTATTGGCCATGGATGGCTATCATTTTCAGCAGAACCAGATGTGCTGGTGTGAGTGCTTTTCACAATCGGTAGGTGCAGGTACTGCAGTGAGATCCTCCCAGCCTAAACTGAAGACACCACGTGGGGGAAAAAATCCCAGAGTGGCTTCCTTCCTTCCCTAGACTCTCAATCAGGAAGACGGTCTGCTTTTTACCGGTTCCCAGCTGCATTTAGTCCCTCTCAGTCTCCTATTATCTAGGGAGGCACCAAGGGTATCAAAGGGCAGTTTGGGGGCCCTCAGTTCCCCCTTCACTGACATATGGTTTTTCATTAAACTCCATAAACAACTGCGAACAAATGCGTCTTAAGAACATCATTTTTCTCTGCTAGCAGGGTGAGGGGTGGGCAGGGTGAGGTTTTTTTTTTTTTTTTTTTTCTCAGATCTTGTTATGTACAGAGTATCTGGGAATCTTGCTACAGTGTAGGTACTAATTGAGGTCTGGATTGGGGTTCTAAAACCCCGAGTTTCTAACAAGTTCCCAGAGGATGCCAAAGCTGTTCTTGGGAAAGGACAATGTGCTTGAGGGGGCTTTAGGCAGCCCTACCTCTCACCAGCTGGCCAAGGCCCCCTGATGTTATTCCACAGATTGAAGGATGGTGGGTGGGAGGAGGGCCCCAAAGTTTTAGGTTTTAGTTAGTCTCCCCCTTTCCCACCCCACGTGGGAGGGCAAGCTACTTCAGGGACCGACGGGGACTGTGCGGGTGTAAGCCTGCAGGCCTGCAAGCCTGGACCCGTGCTGCAGTCTCCACTCTGCTGGAAGCTGCCAGGAGTTGCTCCCTCTCCAGCCTCGGTGTTGTTGTGTGCTCTCTGGAGTCCATCAGACAAATAGCCGAAGGCCCTCTCTCACTCTTTGTTTTTAATTCATAAATGTGAATAATCAACAAGTCTCCCCCAGCTTCATTTGAAGTCTGAAGCCTTGGCTTTGCTGCCAAACTTCACTTCCCCTCGTGCGTCTGTGGAAGATGTCATCTTTTCTGGTCTCTCTGTGCCTTTGTTTGTCAGTTGCAAAGGAGAATCAAGAGATCTGGACAAGTCGGGGCAGGAAACGAGCCTGTACACGGAGGCTCTTAGCATAGTTCTTCCTGAAAGATCAGATCAGTCAAGATGGCTGAATTGGTTTGTATTTGTGTGAAGAATCAGATGCATGGGGTGGGGAGGATTGGATATGGCCCTCTGGTCACCTGGAAGCCTGAATTCTAGATTCAAGAATGAGGGGCTAGAGAGATGGCTTAGCTGGTGCAAGCATGAAGACTTCAGTTCAGATCCCCAGTACCATGCAGAAACATGGACATAGCCATGCTCAACAACATTGGGGTGGTGGTAGGGGGCTCAGACAGGTGAATCACGGGGGCTTGATTGTTCAGCATCATCCTCAGACCTCTGCACTCATGCACAGCCACACACACGTGTGTACACACAGAGGGGACATTCGGAAGTACTAAATGATTGTACGCTTAGAGATGGCAGTTAATTAGAGGGCTGGGGGCAGTACCTCCGACCTGAAGAAGTAAAAAACAAAACGGGATGGGCAATATGTAGGACAGGCCTGGTGTAACTCTTGAGGAACAGGCATTGGAAGGGTGCTGGAACATCATAGCCCTTACACCCCTGAGAACACACAGTAAGAGTGCAGAGGTATGTGGGCATCAGGGGCTGGCCCGGGGGATCTGCATGGCAGAGAGAGATGCCTGGGAGTTTTGGTTGTATAAGGGTGAGGAAGGATCCAGACAGCCTGCCAGACTTCTTTGGGGGACTGAGGGTAGCTGCCATGGGGTGCAGAGGAGGCAAAGTGTTCCCTCCTAGACACACCCCATGACGATAAGGATGGCGCTGCTAATGACAGCCTTTTTTAAGTATCACCATTCATGCTGGGCAGTGGTGGCGCGCTCCTTTAATCCCAGCATTCTGGAGGTCAACGCAGGTGGAGCTCAAGACCAGCCTGGTCTATAGAGTGAGTTCCAGGACAACAAGAGCTACACAGAGAAACCCTGTCTTGAAAACAAAATAAAACAAAAGTATCACCATTCACAAGGGGATGAAATTAGGTATCTTCATGGGGACATTTCCATTCCATCCAGGTATCACTTAAAAAGCCTACCATATAAGTCATTGCTATAACTATACTGCCATCTGCTTCACCAAGTTTCACCAAACTTATTTGTTTTTTTTTTTTTTAAAGATGTATTTATTATGTACACAGTGTTCAGCCTCCATGTATGCCCGCATGCCAGAAGAGGGCACCAGATCTCATTACAGATGGTTGTGAGCCACCATGTGGTTGCTGGGAATTGAACTCAGGACCTCTGGAAGAGCAGTCAGTGCTCTTAACCTCTAAGCCACCTCTCCAGCCCCCCACCAAACTTATTTGAGAGGCAGTTGTTTTTTTTCCCCCACCTGGTGTGAAGGGTGACCTTTGTGATGCTAATGAGATCCTTGAATAGTAGTGATCCCAGTTATCCCAGCTTGGCTCTGAAACACCATCTCTGTCCAGTATTTGCTGTTTGCTCTACTGCCCAGTAAACTATTTGCCCTCCGTTTCCTTTGGGGGCTTAAAGGCTGGGGTGGTATTTCCATGAACCAAGTTGCCATGTTGTTTTTCATCAGTCACCATCAACCTTGGTAGGAAAATCACAGAAAAGAGACAAAGGGCCAATCCCTTGCTCGCTCAATGTGCAGGACGGTTTTATGTCGCCTTGACACAAGCAAATCATTTGAAAGGAAGGAACCTCAATCTAAAAAAAAAAATGCCTCCATGACCGGGTGGTGCTGCTGCATGCCTTTAATCCCAATACTTAGAAGAGGCAGAGGCAGGTGGATCTCTGAGTTTGAGGCCAGCCTGGTCTACAGACCAAGTTAAAGGAGAGCCAGGGATACACAGAGAAACCCTGTCTTGAAAAACCAAAAAGAAAAAGAAAAAAAGAAAGAGAAAGAAAACCAACCAACCAACAAACAAATAAAAAAAAAAAGGAAAGAAAATCCCTCCATGAGATCAGATGTGGGCTACATTTTCTTAATTAGTGATTGATGGGGGAGTGCCCAGTCTATGGTGGTGCCATCCCTGGGCTGGTGATCCTGGGTTCTATAAGAAAGTGGACCGAAGCCGGGCGGTGGTGGCGCACGCCTTTAATCCCAGCACTCTGGAGGCAGAGGCAGACGGATCTCTGTGAGTTCGAGGCCAGCCTGGTCTACAAGAGCTAGTTCCAGGACAGGAACCAAAAAGCTACGGAGAAACCCTGTCTCGAAAAATCCAAAAAAAAAAAAAAAAAAGAAAGTAGACCGAACAAGTCATCAAGCAGCACTCCTCCATGGACACCATTGCTCCTGCTTGAGTTCCTGTCCTGACTTCCTCCAGTGATGACCAGTGCTGTGGGAGTGTAAGCCAAATGAACCCTTTCCTCCCCAAGTTTCTTTAGTCATGGTATTTCATCACAACAATAAGTAACCCTAAGACACTCGGTAAAATCCCTTTACAGGTCAAGTGGTTGCTGAGATTTGTCTTGTCTGCAGGCCCGCACTGGCAGGAAGTGACCAGCTGTGTCCAGTATGTGGGGGTGGAGGTGGTGCAGGCCTGCACTGGCAGGAGGTGACCAGCTGTGTCCAGTATGTGGGGGTGGAGGTGGTGTAGGGGAGTAGGAGTCTTGCTTTGAAGCAATGTTCCTTCTTGAGCCTCTTGAATGCTGGGGTTACAGGAGTGAACCACCACACCAGGTTCAGGTTATTTTTATGTGTAAATGTGTGTGTGTGTTTGCCAAGTGTCTATGAATGCTCTCAGAGGCCAGAGGAGAATGTCAGACCCTGTGGATCTGGAGTTATAGGCACTTGGGAACCGTTTCGTGTGGATGCTGGGAACCAAACTCACTGAGCCCTCCCTTTCCAGTCCCTTCAAGCCACCCTTCTAAATAACAAGCTTTTCAGGCCCATAATTTCAAAACTCAGGAGCCTGAGGCAGAAAGATTGGTTCAAGTTCAAGACCAGTTCATAGCTTTCACAACAGAGTGAGACCCCAGCCTCAAACAAATGAACGCTAATCATTCCCCAAACTGCTGAGCATAGTGTCTTGTCCCATGCCTGTAATCTCAACATTTGGGAGGTGGAGGCAGGAAGATTGAGAGTTCAGTTACCCTCAGATAGATGACCAGTTTGAGGCCAGCATATGAGAACTTGTTTCAAAACAAAGAATTGGGAGGGAGATGTCATCCTAGCTACTTGGCAGGCTGTGCTGAGGCAGGAGGATACCTAGATCAAAACGTAGCCTGTCCTACAGAGGGAATTCAAGGCCAGCCTATGCAACTTAGTAAAATCTTGCATCATAAAACAACAAGGATATAAGACAAATAAATAAAGGGTAGCCTGAAGAAGAAATTAGAGACCAACAGGGCCAGTCTTCTGTTCTAGGAGAGACGCCCAGACATCCTATCCGGCGCACATACAGCCCCTACCCGGCCAGCAGGCGGCGCGCACGCGCTATAGGGCGGAGTGCGGAGCCAGCTCCGCGCAGCGTCGGACGTGCGCGCATCCTAGAACGGCGAGGCCGCGCACGCCCGGGGCTCCCTAAGGCGGGTGGGTACCCCAAGGCCATTTCCGGGAGGGGTGGGGCCGGCGGAGGCGCACCTCCAATCTCTGCGGCGGCAGCGGAAGGGGGAACTCGGATCCGGCGGCTGGCGGCTCAGTTGCTTGCAGAGCGGAGGCGCGCGAGGTGTCCGGCTGCAAGGCTGAGCCTCTGCCGGGAAGAAGGCGCGGGACCTCGGCCTGAGGAGGTGGAGCCGCTGTGGCGGGCCGGTCGGGGCTGAGGCTGAGGGGAGCCAGGCCGGGCAAAGGGAAGAGGAGTGAAGGGGAGGGGGGGCGAGCTTAGAGAAGCAGGGGCGAGCTGAGGGGGCGCGAGCCTAGATGAGCAGGGGAGAGCCGAGGGGGGCCGAGGGGGAGCCGAGCTGAGGGGTAGCGGGGCCCAGGCTGAAGGGGAGCGGGGCTGAGGCGAGCAGGGCCGGGACTGAAGGGGTGCTGAGCTAAGGGCGGGAGTTGGAGGCCCGGGCTGAGCGGTGGCGCGGAGAGTCGGGGCGCCGAGCTCGGGCTGCGGCTGGGCGGGGAGGCAGAGCGGGCGAGGAGCAGCCGGAGATCTGGCTGGCCGTGGGACCGTGGGACTGTGGGCCCGGGGACGGAGCTGTCCCGAGTCCCAGCCTGGGAAGGGGCGTGTCCCCCTTGTGGACTCCTCGGCTGGGTTTTTCTGGTTCGGCCGGCCGGCCGGCCGGAGTGTTGATAAAGGCAGGCAGTGAAATCCCGAGCTTTCCAAGGAGCTAGGGAGGCAGCTGATCCAGCAGTGTGGTGACGCCTTTTCGCCTTAGAGTAAACAGATGTGTTTCCCCTTTTCAGACGCTGAAAAAGAGGAGTCCTGGGAAGACTCCTGTGGAGGAAGATGCCCAGTACAGACCTTCTAAAGTTGGTGAGTCCGACTTAGGAGAGAGACCCTTAGTCCCTAACTCTTAGAAGGATCTGAGTCATGTGGCGATTTCACCTCTAATGTTTGATTTTGGTAAAAGCTGAGCATCTCTACCCCCTTTTTAAAAACCGGAGTTAAAATGATCAGGATGAATATCTTGCGGAATGCAGTATATGCAGAATTTACAAGGTCCTGGAGAATCCTTTCTAGACTCACTGCAGATGGCTTGCAGCTTTTCCTGCTGTCGCAATTAGAGCAATTGCTTTTGTTTTGTTTCTGAAACAGTGTCTGGCAGAGTATCCCTGGGTGGCCTGGAACTCAGCAGAAATCCTTGGCCTTGAACTTTTAGTCATTTTTCTTCACTTTATCTCCTAGTGCTGGGACTTTTGTTTATTTAGGCTTTTGCTTGGTTGGTTTTTGGAGACAGGGTCTTATGGGTAGTCCTGGCTGGGACTACCCATATCTTGCTGTGTAGAGCAGGCTGGCCTGGAATTCCAAGAGATTTGCCTGTCTCTGCTTCTTGAGTGCTGGGATTAAACAAAGGATTTAATCTGCCAGTTTGTTTTCTAGGCAGAATCTCTCCTAGTAGCCTAGGATGGCCTTGAACTAACTAACAGTCCTCCACTTTCAGGCTCTTGCTGGGCCCTTTTTGAGATAGTACGTCTCTGAACTCCTCATATAGCTGGAGCTGGCCTTGAACTCTGTAGTTCAGAGGAGAGACAGGAGTGCTTGCTTTGTCTCCCGAACCTAATTAAAAGTTCACCTAAAATAGGTTCTTATCTCAGATTTAATGAGTTTTCAGTAGGTAATTTCTAAAGTAGCATTTAGAAATGTTGGGAACTTGTTGGGATCCCAGGACTCGAGTTCAAGATCATCCTGGTGTCCTAGAGCTAGTTCTAGGACAGGCTCCAAAGCTGCAGAGAAACAAACAACAACAAAAAAATGTTGAGAGTCTCTCCATCCCCCTTCACCTCCTCCTTCCTGGCAGCAATTATTACAGAGACACTTGCTGCTGGCTTATTGGATGGTTAATGGAGAACGGCTCCTAACAATGGGCAGTTTCTTTTCTTCCCTCTGATCTATCTGGATATGTATGTAAATGATGAATTCCCATACAGAAATAGAATATTCATGTAAGGACTTGTGCGGGGATTAATGAACTTCTTTGTCTGAGCAGGACTTGCATTTATTTAGTCTATTTGGAATCCTTTTTGTGCTGAATTATTTCTTGAGCTGTCCTTGTACCCCTTGATGACTTCCTGATACTCTAGAATGGGGATTCTGTTCTCCTAAATGCAATAAGGGAATTGACGTAGGTATCAATGATCTTGACACATCATTTTCTGAAGATTCCATAGAGATTACATGAAATGCTTTCACCAGAGAAGTTGTCATTCTTAGCTGTAGTGTGTTGTTACTTGGGGCAGAATGGTTTTTATTATGATCTGAGTTTAAGGTTCTCTTTCTACTTTTTTTTGGTTTTTCGAGACAGGGTTTCTCTGTGGTTTTGGAGCCTGTCCTGGAACTAGCTCTTGTAGACCAGGCTGGTCTCGAACTCACAGAGATCCACCTGCCTCTGCCTCCCAAGTGCTGGGATTAAAGGCATGCGCCACCACCGCCCGGCCTCTTTCTACTTTTTATGATAGATAAAACTGATGCTTTGACTGGGAAGAAAGGGCCTAAAAAAGTGAGAAAAAACAAAAAAACCTCAAAAATTTTAGTACAGGAAAATGCCTCAGAATCTCAAAAAAAAAAAAGTCTCTCTGTGTGTATGTGTGTGTGTTGGCTTCAGGGTCTTACATGCTAGGCCCGTGTTTTATTTCAGTTCTCATCGCTTATTTATTTATTTATTTATTGCCAGGTTCTCACTAAATGCCTCAGTCAGTCTATGAACTAAGAATCCTCTGGCTCACCAGGTTCTGACTAAAAACAATCTTGGGCAGTGGTGGCTCATGCCTTTAATCCCAGCACTCCAGGGCAGAGGCAGGCGGATCTCTGTGAGTTCGAGGCCAGCCTGGTCTACAAAGGCTAGTTCCAGGACAGGCTTCAAAGCTACAGAGAAACCCTGTCTTGAAAAACAAAAAAAGAAACAAAAAAATGTAGACAACTCACATCAAGAATGTATTAGAAGGGCTGGAGAGATGGCTCAGCAGTTAAGAGCACTGGCTGCTCTTCCAGAGGACCCAGGTTCAATTCCCAGCACCCACTGTCTATATAACTACAGTTCCAGGGGATCTGATACCCTCACACAGACATACACGCAGGCCAAACACTAATGTACATAAAATATAAAGAAATAATTCTTTAGAAGAAGCAATGTATTATATACAGAAAGAGATAGTCTACATACTTACTAAATTTTTACCACAAACTCTGAAAAATGTTCTGGCACCCTTTAATAAATGGAAAACTAGACTTTTCCTGACTTCCACAGTAGTTGAGTGGCAGAGTTGTTTTACCACCAGTGAAATCATTTCAGAAGACCTCGTCCCTTTTAACTTGGTAAAACCACCTCTGGGACACGTGTCTGGGAGGTAGAGGGTTGTTGATCATTGTGGCTGACCTCAGAGGGTTTGGGAAGACCAGAAATTGGAATTATTTGGGGGGCACTTTGGGAATGCATGTGGGGAGAAGATTCTTGTCTCCTGAGATCTTTCTTGAAAGTCCCTGATGTATTATAAAATCTTGTTTGTTTTTCTTTATGTAGCAGTTACGGCATTGGAGTTTTGAACTTTGTGCCTATTATAAGTATAATGTTAAAGTGTTTGAAGAGCCTTACAAAGTAATTAGTATAAAGCGGATGTCTAGTGACAGCACTGAACCATTGTGTGAACAGTGTGTTGGAGAGAAAAGAGGAAGATCACCTAGAGTCCACCTGTAAGCAAGGAGCTTGAGTTCTGTGTGTTCCTGCCTTCAGTTTTGTCTGTCTGGTTTGGGTGGTTTGCCTGTCTTTTTTCCACTTGGTCACGCCTTGGGACTATAACACTTTCCATCTGTGTCTGTGGGAGAACAAAGGAGCATGCTTCTCTACGGAGAATATCTCAAGAGGGAACTCAGTTTAGGCAGTTTCCTAGCAGCCTTTCTTCACTCTGGCAGCACTTCCATCTGTGCTCTTCAGTTGTAGTTCCATCTAATGGTGTCACTTTGTCAGTTGTCAAATAGAGTTCTAAAGGAAAACTGAATTCATAAAGCCAGGTAATAGGTGTTTTTTTTTTTTCTTGCCCAGAGCTGAAGAAAAAGTTTGTAGATATTCTATATAAAACAAACTTACCTTATTTTGACGGTAATTTTTTTTTTTTCCTCCCGATTCAGGGTTTCTCTGTGTAGTTCCCAGCTATCCTGGAACTCACTTTGTAGACCAGGCTGGCCTTGAACTAAAAAAGATCCATGTGCCTCTACATCCCGGCTACTGGTTTTGAAGGCAAAGTGCCGCCAACTGCCCAGCTGGTAATTGTTTCTTTGGATAAGTTCTTAACCTAGGTAGTTTTGCTTCCGAGAGACTTTTGACCATCTTGGAAAACACTTCTTGGCTACTAGCATCTTCTAGATAAAAACCAGGAATAAAATCAAGCATCCAGTAATGACCATGGCCTCCCCAGTCTGTAACAGGGATGTGTTATAGAATGTCTGCAGTCCTGAGGTTGAGAACCCAGTCGGAGGTCTCTAATATGGCTGTTTATCTGCAGGCTTTATTTTTCTGTGAGTAGAGAAATGAGCCTCTTGCAGTGTTATTTCAATTATTTTGCCCTGTTATCTTGATATATCTGGATGAATCTATAGTGTGATCATCTACAGGAGAACGAAATCCTGAAGAAATAAATGCTTTCCTAATTCAACATTTCTGCAGCACCCTTTGAAATCAAGCCTCCATCAATTTTTATTTTTGATTCAAAAATAAAATCTTGGAGCTGGAGAGATGACTTTGGTAGTCAAGAGCACTGGCTATTCCTGCAGAATACCCAGGTTTGATTCCCACAGGTGGCTAACAACTATAATTCCAATTCTAGGGGATTCAGTGTCTTCTGGCTTCTTCTGAACTAGGCACACAAGTGGTACACAGACACACATGAGGGCAAAATACCATTTTTTTGATTGGTTGATTGAGTGTCTAAAGAGCACCAGAAAAGCCACATCAATCCATTGAACATCATGTTCGAAAGGAAAAAAAAATCAAATCTTTCCCAGTCTTTGAACTTGTTCCATGACCTTTGACTCTTAAAAAAATTATTTTAAATATTTATTTTATGTGTATGGATATTTCGCTTGTAATATGTGTATGTAGTGCCACAGAGGCCAGAAGAAGGCATCAGATCCCCTGTAACTGGAGTTACAGACAGTTGTGAGTCACCATGTGGGTGCTGATAATTGAACCTGGGTTATCTGGACTCGACCAGTGCTATTCACTACTGAGTGAGCCCTTTTGCCTCGACCTTTGACTCTTTTTTCTGGGATACTTTCTTTCTGAATCTCAAGTGTAATTTAAGAATAGCCTGGTAGTGGTGGCTCACGCCTTTAATCCCAGCACTCAGGAGGCAGGTGGATCTCTGAGTTCAAGGCCAGCCTGGTCTTCAAGAGCTAGTGCTATGACAGGCTCTTAAAAAAAAAAAAAGCAGCCGGGCGGTGGTGGCGCACGCCTTTAATCCCAGCACTCGGGAGGCAGAGGCAGGCGGATCTCTGTGAGTTCGAGACCAGCCTGGTCTACAGAGCTAGTTCCAGGACAGGCTCCAAAACCACAGAGAAACCCTGTCTCGAAAAACAAAACAAAAAAAAAAAAAAAAAAAAAAAAAAAGCAACAAAAAACTACAGCAAAAACCTGTCTTAAAAAAAAAACAAAAACAAAAAAAGAATAAAATGAAATTGGCACTAAAAGTTATTTTCTATTATTTGAGCCTGGTTTCTTGATTGTAGGATTAATTGGAAGAAAGGGAAATTTTTTTGACTGGCAGAACATTTAAAATTGTGTGGGCACTCCAGAGGTAATTGTAGGGTGGATACTGTATTTG